ACAAATTAGTTATTGAATTATTTTGACTTCATATCTACAAGGATCAACCAGGAAACTGTAACTTTTTGAAAGGGGAATATTTATTTGGCACTTTATGTTATTATTAATCTCAATTTGAGGAAGACAGTAATTTTTATATTAATGGCAATGTTGTCGTCAATGACAACTTGCCTATGCCCCATTATCAAGTCAAAACAGCCTGTATACTCCATCGTAAATGTTCGAGACTTTATATCACTGGTGGCTGCATAGATTCAAATTTTCAACACATTGAACCCCATTCCAACTATCCAAATTCATCGCCTTTAAAAAAAACTTCTGGACACTTCGCAATTCAAAGCAGGGTAAAGAATGATAATTAATTATACAAATTTTTAATGTTTATTGGTCAAGTAACCAAGTAATGTTGGATATGAATCTACTCACATTTTAAAGAAGTACCACAGGTGGTAAAGAACCATTAGTTTTCATCTTCATTTCAGATGAACCTAAATAGATCATTGTACCTACATGTATTAATAATAAATTGTAAATTTTTAAGCTCAATTTTAACCATCGCTTTGCATTTGTAAAGAAATTTCCAAGCATGTGCGATACAATTCGCTTTTAGTTCTTGCACATTCAACTTGCACATTGCAGAACTTTTATGTTCACAATGGTTATTATATTCACCTCTCTAGTACTTTAGCATGATTGTACACCTTCAATATGGTGTTATCTTAGTAACACACATACTTGATGATTGCATGCTTGTTGTTGTTGTTTCCTTGATCCGAATTGTTAAGGTTTTATGAAAAATAAAGAGTTTGATAAATTTTTGGATATTTTTTAGCATTACCCTTGAAACTAGGGTAAAAATGATTTCAACAATGATAATTCTTAAATAGGTTTTAAAAATGAAATATAGAGAAAAGAATGCCATCCATTGTCAGTTTCAGAATGTTAATTGAATCCACCAATCGTGTTTCTCTGTATCTGTGATTTAATATATTTGCTAGTGTCTTGTTGTTGTCACAATCTCATGTGCAGTATGTTACCGTCTTTGACGCTTGTTTGTCCTTACATTTGTCAAAATTATGAGTTTGATGGTTTTTATCGCATTATCCCAGGTTATATCATTATTAATCGAATCATACTTTACTGCAATATCCTATGTACTAAAAATGTTTCTTACATTTACCTTTGTCTTGTTTACTCCCAGCCTGATGTTAAGTCCATTAATTAATAATTTATGCAATTCTTACATCGCATGTAACAGTGGCCTTAAGGTGTATGTGTAAATGATATTTATTAAACAGACAAATTAATCCATGAAAATGAGTAACATTTAGCTTTAAATCACCTGAAGTATTGGAATGTTAAAGTATTGCAGCTTAGAATATCAACTTATTATTCATTACAATTAATAATCATGTGTGAATTTAAACTATTATTGAAATGTCTGAATAACAATTAATATTTAGATATATGGCACATTCTTAAGTTTTTTATGGAGGATTTACACACATGGATATTGAAAATAATCATAGATCCGTATAGATAAGTGTGGAAATACTTAAGGCTCAAGGCTTGCAGTTAAATTTCTCGACCCAGTGGAGCGACGCATGTTAAACTGATGGTCTTTGCCTGTTCTGAACGGTGGCTGCCTTATTCCTCATCAAAGTTATACTTCTGATATCCATTAAAGAATCTTTCATGAAAATTGTGTCAAATCGAATTTACCTCAATCCAATGAAGCTACAGATATAGGCCAACTCATTGCATGGTCCACCTTTATTGTCAAGTGTTTGTATATTATCTATAGTAAAGCCTAATTTTGTAATACAACAAATTGAGATCTCGTATATTTTTTATTTTTTATCTCAATAAAATTTTGAAATTAGGCCAAACTCAACAAAATATTCATGTTAATAGGTATCCATCAAAACGATTCAAACGACTGTCTTATTTTCACGTCAATGAACACAGTAATAGCATAATTGGACTTCACGCTTAACTGGGTAGAAGACCTCGGTGCAGGGTCTGTGCATTATTTCAGGCACAAACAGGCCGAGTAGAACACCAATGTTCTGTAACTAGCTGGATAGCTTCTTAAGTCCACGACCTAACTCTGACAGACGCAGCCCAACTTATGCTTATGATGTGTTGATTACAATACTTTCAACTAACACACTATCAAGGAAGTATTATTTTTAAAGCACAAAATACCATATTCTAATATTCTAAGTGTGTAAAATTTCAAATACAGCACCTACCAAAATTAAAATTATTCATTTTCTAATGCTGATGTTGAAACTGTCAATTTAAGAAAGCTGTTTTTGTTTCAAATTTGTAAAAAAAAATTAAGTATTTAAAACATCTTTTTGTTTAAACATAATATTCATAGGCAAGCTGCTTCTCTACCAGGCCAGTCTGGTTGAGCACAATGACCTTTATCAGTGTAGACATACAACATTTGAAAAGTTTAAACTTCTAAAATTTAACAAAGATCAAAGTTAGAAACACCCAACTTCTAAGTCTAAAATCAGTATAATATCAAACAAATATAACTTCAAGTTTATATAAAATTTATATATTATAAACATGAACTGCAGATCAAATATATTTACAATTGTTATATCACCATAACATTTACCCACTTTTCAAAGCAATGACTAATGTTATTAAATATAACATTACAATATTTGTTATGTAGCTATAAAACATGATATGTTCTTGAATTTTCTAAAGTTCATATAAAAAAGTAATTATTTACAAAATATTAATGAGCTTACACCTATATTATAGAGAGTTGCCTTTATTTAACAAATTTATAATTATTTGCCTCTCTTGACAGAAGTGTCGGCCATTTTGGGGTTATTTATAAATTATTCAATATATACAATGTAATGGACGCTATAAAAATAAGTAAACAGAAGATTTAGGTGAATTGTCAAATTATTTTAAGTGTAAATATTAAATATTTATCAGCTTACATTGTGATGGATTTTTATCCATCAATAAGGAACACAGTATTTTATAGCCTATTTTCCATGGGCAATTTCCTCTTTATTTTAAGGATTAACAATTATACAATGTTGAAAAACAAAATCAAATCATTGTTAAATTTTAAATTTCAAACAAGCAGTACACTTGCTACATAAAAACAGAGACACAGAGACATAGTTATCTATGTCTATGATAAAAACAAAATTGATAAAAGTAAAATCCCCAGTCCCAACAGCTGATTAAAATTCAGATCTAGATAAATAAATATGGGCAAATTCATAAAAATACATTTTCTAGTCCTAATAATCTTAAATTATGTACAAGAACATTACTACATAGGTAATTTAAGCAGCCTTTATCTTTTATTTTCTGTTGGAGAAAACAATTCTGTGTTGTTTCCAACTAAGTATTTCAGTAATTTTATCTAGGAAAAGTGCACCATATCATTGTAAAGCCTTCTTCAAAACAGCATCCTGAGAGCTATTTATAATGTTAGTCTTATCTGCAAAATGAATGTCTGCTTTACTTACTTATATATAGATACTGGACTAGTGGATTAGAGGTATCGAGGGGTTTTCTTTTTATTTTATTTTCCACCTTACTTCTTTTGATTTGACAATTATATGAAATGATTTATCTAAAAGTAACATATTTAAACTTAAGAAAAGCCAATGGCCACTTTAAGTTTTGGAAGACTAAAATTTATAGGAAGACGTGTACAAAAACTCAGGGTAATTCCTTTATAGTTTACGCTGTTGACTGAGCTACACATATCTGTAGAGATCAGCAGAAAAATTACTACTGTGAAGCCGGCATTAAACCATAATGTATTCACCCATAGTGCTAAATATAGTTACCCTAGTAACACTTGCATCACAAATAACATTTCAAATGCAAATATTCATAATATATGTATATGAATGCATTGTAAAATAAAAATGATGACTGTTAATGTTTCCCCTGTATTAAATCTGTGAACTGGATTGATGGTAAAAGAATGCTCGAAAATAAATGCTTTTGAAACAAGAGGGCCATGATGGCCCTGGGGTCGCTCACCTGTACATAGGCCCCCAGGGCGGGGCCAGTTTAAACCAAAGGGCTTTTATTTGAACAAACTTGGAAGACACCCATTAGAAGATGTTTCATGCTAAATATCTTAGCTCTAGCTCTTTGGGTTCTTTAAAAGAAGAGTTTTAAGTTTTTAATTACTATATGCAATATAGGGAAAATCAATGACCCCCTAGGGCGGGGCCAATTTTGACCCAAGGGCTTTTATTTGAACAAACTTGGTAAACATCCATTAGAACATGTTTCATGCTAAATATCTTAGCTCTAGCTCTTAGGGTTCTTTAATAGAAGATCTTTAAGTTTTTACTCTATGTATATAGGGAAAATCAATGACCCCTGGGGCGGGGCCAATTTTGACCCCAGGGCTTTTATTTGAACAAATTTGGTAGACACCCATTAGAAGATGTGTCATGCTAAATATCTTAGCTCTAGCTCTTTGGGTTCTTTAAAAGAAGATTTTTAAGTTTTTACTGCATGTATATTGGGAAAATCAATGACCCCTGGGGCTGGGCCAATTTTGACCCCAGGGCTTTTATTTGAACAAACTTGGTAGACACTCATTAGAAAATGTTTCATGCTAAATATCTTAGCTCTAGCTCTTTGGGTTCTTTAAAAGAAGATTTTTTTAAAGTTTTTACTATATGCATATAGGGAAATCAAAGACCCCTGGGCCGGGCCAATTTTGACCCCAGGGCTTTTATTTGAACAAACTTGGTAGACACCCATTAGAAGATGTTTCATGCTAAATATCTTAGCTCTAGCTCTTTGGGTTCTTTAAAAGAAATTTTTTAAAGTTTTTACTATATGCATATAGGGAAAATCAATGACCCCCTGGGGCGGGGCCAATTTTGACCCCAGGGCTTTTATTTGAACAAACTTGGTAGACATCCATTAGAACATGTTTCATGCCAAATATCTAAGCTCTAGCTCTTTGGGTTTTTAGAAGAAGATTTTTTTAAGTTTTTACTATATGCATATAGGGAAAATCAATGACCCCCTGGGGCGGGGCCAATTTATACCCCAGGGCTTTGATTTGAACAATCTTGGTAGACACTCATTAGAAGATGTTTCATGCTTAATATCTTAGCTCTAGCTCTTTGGGTTCTTTAAGAGAAAATTTTTTAAGTTTTTACTATATGCATATAGGGAAAATCAATGACCCCCTGGGGCGGGGCCAATTTTGACCCCAAGGCTTTTTTTGAACAAATTTGGTAGACATCCATTAGAACATGTTTCATGCCAAATATCTAAGCTCTAGCTCTTTGGGTTTTTTAGAAGAAGATTTTTTTAAGTTTTTACTATATGCACATAGGGAAAATCAATGACCCCCAGGGGCGGGGCCAATTTTGACCCCAGGGCTTTGATTTGAACAATCTTGGTAGACACTCATTAGAAGATGTTTCATGCTTAATATCTAAGGTCTAGCTCTTTGGGTTCTTTAAAAGAAGATTTTTTTAAGTTTTTACTATATGCATATAGGGAAAATCAATGACCCCCTGGGGCGGGGCCAATTTTGACCCCAGGGCTTTTATTTGAACAATCTTGGTAGACACTCACTAGAAGATGTTTCATGCCAAATATCTAACCTCTAGCTCTTTGGGTTTTTTAGAAGAAGATGTTTAAAGTTTTTTCTTTTGGTTGCCATGGCAACCAGAGTTCTGCATGGAATGGAATTCTTTGAACAACTTTGTTAAGGCTTCACACAAGGAACATCCCTGTGAAGTTTCATTATGATCTGCCTTATGGTTTCAGAGGAGATGTCGTTTGAAAAGTGTGAACGGACATCGGACGACGGACGACAGACGACGGACGAAGAGTGATCCTAATAGCTCACCCTGAGCATATGCTCAGGTGAGCTAAAAATGACTTGCAAATTCCTTTACATGTATCAGTTTAAATCAAACTATCTTATGTCTTGATTCACAAAGTCCAAAAACTATTTATGATTTTTTTTTACTTGTAATAAAAAAGAAGAATAAGAAAAGAAAAATTCTTAAAACCTTGAACCTCAAGCATTAAGCACTCGGAGTGTAGAAGAAAATAATAGCAATTCTAAAAAGTTATAGCAAAATATATATCATATGCAAGAAATAGACTAGAAATGTGTCATCATGCCACGGATGCCCCCGCATGCAGCCAAAATTTCAGATGTTGCATTAATTTTTTTTTTTCATTTTAAGTTCAAAGCCCTTTAAACTTTTCAATGTTAACACAAACCATTTTCATACAATGTTCAAGGCACTGAAATTATTCAGTCTTAACCTTTTAAAAATAGCATATTGCATATTTGTAGCCAAAATAATGGCTAAAAGTATGAGTGCTGAAACTGAAAGTTCAAAATTTTTCCAACACTCAGGAAAGATAAGTTTGTCTAAAATCATTGAACAGCGACCAAATTCAAACTTAAACTGCTTATTCCTAAGATGTATCTATATTATTTTCAAAGTGAAAGGGACATAACTCTGCCAAAAAATCATCAAACCATGACCAAATTCCAACTTGACCTGCCCATTCCTTTGACATATCCATATGTCAAATTTGAGTTGAATATGTAACACTGTTGGGTAGATAATTAACGGAAACTGAAAATTTCATATTATTTCAAAGTAAAAGGGGCATAACTCTGCTAAAAATCATCGAACCATGACCAAATTCGAACTTGACCTGTATTTTCTCATGACATATTCATATGTCAAATTTGAGTTGAATGTGTTGTACCGTTGGGGAGATAATGAACGGAAACTGAAAAATTCATATTATTTTCAAAGTAAAAGGGGCATAACTCTGCCAAAAATCATCGAACCATGACCAAATTCGAACTTGACCTGTATTTTCTCATGACATATCCATATGTCAAATTTGAGTTGAATGTGTGCAACCGTTCTTAAGATAATGAACGGAAACTGATGATGACGGAATGACAGAATGACGGAAGGACGGAAGGATGGAAGGACGGAATGACGGAACAGGGTAACACTATATGCCCCGGCCATTACATGGCGGGGGCATAAAAATTAATTTCAAATTAAAACAAATGACTTGTATAATGTTTTTTAAGATGAGACGTTATTGCTCCCCAATACTTTTATGAAGTAACTCTTGCAGATTTTTTATTGTATGAGGTTGTACACGTTGGCGGACACCTTGGCGATCTGTCTCCACTTCCGGGCTTGAGCATTCTTGTAGGAGTTTGAAGAGTTCAACCTTGATAGAACCTGGTGGATCTCTGAGTAAACCTGTTGGCATCTTAGGAAAGTACCCCACAAATACATCCTCACATACTGCCTAAAATGAAGATCAAAATAAAATTATATATATTCAAAATACAGTTAATTTTAATACATTTATTTTTATGCTGGTTATAAGATATACATGTTATTTGTATGTATTTAAATTAATTATTTAAAAGCTCAAATCTATAATTTTTCCTCCGTACTTATATTTCAAAGCAAAAAGATATGAAGAAATGATTCCAAACATGAAACTATAATGAAATGCAATGTTTCAAAATCCTATAAAAGAGAAAACAAATAACAATGTACAAATTTACAGATTAAACTTAACAGAAATTAGATGAAACATATGAATACCAAAGTACAACAAAAAATGACACCATACTAATTCAGACCTGCATATTATTATTGGTCCTTTCTTGTAAACATTTATTAGTTTTAGTGTCACAGAAGCCTCTACAATCGAAGAAGTCGCAGTCATCATGGCTTGTACAGTTGGTGTGATTAAACTGCATGAGCAGATTCTCCTCAAACAAGGCACAGTCTGTATCTATCAGAGTTACCTCCCCATTGTCCCTTAGACCAAAATTGTCTGGTTTTATATCACAGAGATGCAATTTTTCACTTAAATCATCTAGTTCTTTCATGAGATCTATCAATTTTAAAGCTATTGTTGCTCTTTCCCGCCAAGAATGTGTCCATCCTTTTAATATTTCAAACTCGTAATTGCCCAAAGTTTGAGTGTTTTCAACAAAATAAGCTGGCCCACAGGTACCATATATTCTTGGAGTGAATGAATGATTATATAGGTCACGTGACATCAGGTATTCCTGTTGTTCTGTTAGAGACCAGAGACTGGACAAGGCAACAACAACAGCATCTTTCTTATCTTTGCTATTCTCCAAGTATTCCTGAAAATTCCAACCCCATGCAAATGATAAAATATCCTTATGTTTCGACATATCGTTATGGCGAAGAAACATGAATGAATTTTTTACTAAAATTTCTATTTCCTCTACATACTGCCTCTGCCTTTCTGATGTATCCAACTCTAAGTGGAACATGTTTAATTTTTCTCTCTCATCAAGTTCATCTTTCATTTTCATGACGACTGTGACACGTGTTTTATCAGGGACACAAGAATCACAAGTTAGGAAAAGAACTTTCTTCCCTTTTCTGTAGTTAGTACAAGTTTGATAATGAACATCTTCAGTTTCACATAAAGCATTGCACAACGACCCTGCAACCTCTCCTTCTTTGTATAACTTGCACTAAAATAAAGAACATCATTACATATATATATGTATATAAATAGCTTTTCACAATTTGTCACTCCAGTGGAAAACACAAATAGGAATTTCTTAAGAGAATGATTCTTACAGTAAAATCAGAAGAATAGAGAAAAAAAGAATACCAAAAGAAAACACAACTGTGACAACACATCAAAATTGAAAATGTTGCACGCTCTGTTTGATTGAGACTGTTCATGGTCAAAGAAATAAAACACTTTCCGTCATGCAAACATCTGAATATTTTATACATATTAGAACTGTGCCAAAGGCAGGGGCAGTATAATATAGACGAAATATAGTGGCGGCATGACCGAGATGTAAACATGTCTAACTAGTGATCTAAGGATTTCTGGCTATGTGGGTTTGAACCCCATAAGAGGCAAGCCGTGCAAGAAACTTCATACTTATTGTTCAGTACTGGTTGGTTCCAGGAACCGACTCGAGTGTGTTTTAATACCCTCATAGCATCCAACACAATCAAACTAAAATAAATTTGTATAAACTACATTTTGTATATACTTACAATGCCAAATATATGTCTATTTTATTTGCTCCTCTTCTATTTTATGTAAAATTACCAAAAAATTAAAGCTCTAAAATTTAATACTTCAGTAAGAAACTTCTGATTAATCTGAGAATAAATTGCCTTAAAGAAAGTAATAAATCACACACCAAGTCTTCTATGATCTTCTTAGATTCCCCTTCTGTACAGTGCTCTTTCTTGTACATGTGGCGTCCAAATAAGGCAAGGGAGATTACAATGAACACCATTACTCCACAACAAGATAAACAACAACATTTTACCCTCCGTCTCATCCAACGGAATATAGCCATACTATCTCAGCTGAAACTAACAACAACTACAATTTCAGGTTTTATATTTTATGTATGTAAATGTTAACTGCATATCGTGTATTTTAGACATGTGTAAGAGTTATAAAGAAGATAGAGTTATATATTACTTATAACAAAAACAGTGATAATTATTGTTAAAGATCAATAGCAACTGTGACTTTCCATTCCTTTTTAGAAGCAGAAAATTTAATGTTTTGTTTTAACCAAAATGTTTAAACTCTGGTATTAAACTGCTGATGGTTACTAAGATTCTGCTAGCACTACAAAAATACTATGTCTCTGATTGTATCTAGTCCAATTAGCCTGACAAATTGTGAGCTTTAGGGCTTTTTATTATATAGACGATGGTTGCCCTTTGCAAAGACAGACATCTATGTAATATCAAATTGTCGAATCTGTCTTGCAAAAATATTGAGACTACTAGTCCAATATATCAGACGTTACGGGATAAATGTTATAGGTTATGTCGGTCAAGCCCTACCACTTTGCTTTGCCCAGAAGCAAAAATATCTCAAAACAGTGTCAAATTTGTAGGACTATGATTGTATCATGCAAATACTAGACAAAAAAAACTGTACTGGTTGGGGAGATAACTTCGGCTGGTTGATAAACTCGGCTTTTTATAATTTAATAGAGTTATCGGCTTTTTTAATGTAATCAAGCTCACCATCTCGTAAGAACGCTAAAATTCGACAATATCTGAAAATTTTGTCAAGTTTGGTAAGATATTTAAAAAATAGCACAGACTTTTACCCGTTTGTTTACAAAACATGCCTATAAATAGTACGGAAAATCCGATTGTTGTACGCATGCGCAGTAGATGCTCATTTTGAGGCCCATACAGGGTTACTTTTTATGAGTCCCGGTCAGGCTGCACATTTTTCTCACCCTATGACATACTTAAAAAAGAACAAAAAAAAACGTATTTACATTAAAATGAATTATATGTTAAATAGTACGTTGCATATTTAATATCGTAGATACATGTATTCATTATACTAAAGTAATTCTCAAACATTCTGATACAAAATATTTTTATTTGACATATATGACTAGCAAAGGAATAATAAAATGTCTAAACATGTTATTCTACGTTTTAATTTACTCATTAAAAATGATTTCAGAAGAAAAACAAAGAGCCGAAATTATCTACTCGCGCGTGTTAAAAATGTCCTTTTTACGTACCTCTTCCAGGGCCTCTCAAAATTACCCATTTTGTTACTAAATATAACTTTTATGGTGATACCTGAATATCGAAGAGCTGAAGTTTATTATGGTGCAAGATTCATCAGAATACGTAAACAAATAAATGAAATATGCCCAAAAAACATCGATTTTCGGCCGAGCTTATCTCCCAAACCAGTAAATCGTAGTTTTAGGATACCTGATACTGGCCAGGTAAAAATTGTTGACAGCTGATAATGTTAATCATTGTTGTTTGACAATAGAATTACATATTAGAGTCAAATATTACTAAGATATATGAATAACTGAAAATATCACTATAAGCTACAGTCACGTAGTATAATCATTTCTTATAATCAGCCTACTTTCATTTTTAAAATTGACATTGATCTTCTCAGCATAAGATGATAAGTTTTGACAGCCGTATGTCTACATGAAAGTAATACAAAGACGTAGGTGTTGAGAGCCGCATTTTGAATAATTCTAATGCAAACCAATATTATTACATCTTACATTAAACAACTGATGAAGAAATGATGTTGCATACTTACTTCCTGGTTGTTGACAGAATTATTTCCCCTGCATGTATATATTGCACTTCGTACGATTCACACTTCGGCAGCAGACCACTAAATACTTAACAAGTGTAGACACTTCTCTAATGACTGATTTGCAGATATCTAGTTTAACCTTAATCTTGTTTGAAACGAAATTTATTAGTCTTTGCCATCATTTTTAACTGGGCAAGTCTGCACAGTTTGCTATTTCTTCCATCTGACACAATCAATGCACGACACTACATTATCTATCTACAGTGTAGAATGGTATTAATATTGACAGATATCTACAATGTAGATAGATAATGCAGATACCACATACAATAACAACAGGGAGGTCTGAGACAGTTTTTAAAAAGTTAGTAATTAGCTTTTTTACAAACTAATTAAAAGATAAAACTTCACAAACATTGATGGTTATTATTATTAGGATTGAACTTAAGACTTGTACTTACATCATTCCAAAGTTTTAGTGTGCTTGAAAAAAGTAAATGTAATACTGAGTTCTGCTGTGGGGACGTAATAAAGTTAAAGTTTCTTGATTGTAATTGGTGCATGTAGTCAAAAGCTACACTTAGTTGTTTTGGATTTTAAAATCATGAAGAGTCCACGAAGGCTTTATTTCTAGGGTTTGCCATTTAAATTTTATAAGGGTTTTACTTTTAGTATGAATGTTACACTACTATGATAGGAATAACCATTCATTACATATCTTACCGCTGCTATAAGACTCTTTCTAATTGCCTCTTGTCATGGGTGACAAACTGTATAGGGATACTCAAGTTGAGGTCTACATGATCTAACCTAACTTTTATAAGCTGTCTCTTTAATGTCTTTATCATTCAGTCTGAGTCTTGTAATAAATCATAGGGAGTTTGTGGACTTAGATTAGACATTTTGTGTTTATTTTCTGGCTAAGGTCTTGACCTATTATAAGACCTAAGTACTTATTATTACCAGTTTGTTCCAGTACAATATTTTGCTACAAAACCTGTAACTTTACGTCTAAATTTGCCTTTTACTAAGAGAATAAGGCCGTTTTTTTGTTGTTTTTTTCATTTCATATTTCTAAATGGTTATTGATAAAGGAATTTTTTTCCCTTCTATTTTTCAGAACTTCAGACTAAGTCAAACATTTTTATTTGTACATCTTATCTGTCAATATTGATACCATATACAAGTAGAACTAAATTTTTATATCTGGAGGTACATTGCTAAATAATAAAATTAATAACAACGCTTCTCAAAGTCCTCATTTTTACTTCAAACCAAAATTAAACAGTAAATAACAAAGATAAAAATACATTCATAAATTATTAAGAGAAAAAGTAGTATGAATTCAATGACCAATTAATGGGAATGAAAAATGGAAAACTATACATGTATATACAACCTTATATACATAGTAAGATGTTTGACAAGGTGAACACATCATTCTATACAATCATCCTTAAAAAATCTCAACAGAAAAATCTCAACAACTTCAAATAAAAGAAGACTCATGATTGCATCAAGTCCTTCTTCAGAATAAACATTACACTTGAGAACTGGCCAATATACAAATTTCAATTTGAGAGAAACAAAAAACAAACTTCTATTATTTTCAGTTCTGTCATGTAAAAAAAGCTTAATGGAGTCGCTTTAATAATAAAAATTTGCCAATTTATAATCTTTCACTAAAATTGTCCCATTGCATTATTTTTCCATGAACACATTAACTTAAACAGCACTATACAAAAGTTGCCAACATCATTTACATGATTTATGTGAGCTGCAACATTTGTTAAAAAAAATCACTTAAATTCTTAATATTTCACACAATAATTAATTGATCCATATAACAATTGATAACAAAATGTATAAACAGTTTATCTATTTTCATCATATATGGCCATTCAAAATGATATAATTTTATTGAGACTCTTTGGTTCTTTTGAGCTACACTGTCAGAAGGATTTCATAGAAAAAAATAATGAAAATGCAAATAAATGATACAACTATCACCATTTACATGTAAAAGAAAAATATCAGCACTTGTGAAAAAATATACATTAATTTTGATTGACATAAAATGCATGATATTTTATAAATAAAAAAAGTTTAGGAAATTTTGTTACAAAATGACATATAAGGACGATCACCCTAGATGTCTCACCTGAGAGCCATTGCTAGAAAAGATCACAATTATTAAATGAAGAAGTAGGCCATTGGGTTATATTGGGATCAGGCCTGTTTTGATTTATTAACCTTTTGCAGAGGTCCAGTAAACAATGTTACATGCAGGTATCTAAGGTCTAGGCTAGGAAGTTTCAAATTAGAAGATATAAATGTGTTTTCCTAGGTAAGTCTATGACAAAAAGTAAGGCAGGGCCAATTTGTACCAAAGGAGCTTGATTTATACAACTTATTTACAAGAGTACTATGCAATGCTACATGCAACACATCTATGCTATAGGCATTGTACATTTAGTTTTTAACAAAAGTGTTCCTATATAAATGTATAGAAAGACATTAAAAAAGATATAAGACAGACATCAGTCTATCATAAAAGCTCAGCTTTGAGTATATAATGCCCAGCTCTGAGCCAAAATAAATTGGAATTGATTTTTCAGCTGCCAAAAGTCAAGAAAATCTCCAAACCTATTTTGCCAATAGATTTTTGGAGAAAGATTATAACATCATAATAATGCATACTCAATAGTCAAACAATAATCATGGTCATAATAAATGATATAATTGTGTCTGTTTTTCGGTAAGACAATTTGAATCTCTATTTCCCAGTATTTCAATGGCAATATTTTGCTATGGCATATTCCCCTATGGCAGTAGCTCCCTTACACCAGATAAAGTGTAAATTTACACAAACTATTTCAGTGCTTACACCAGATAAAGAGTAAATTTACCAAAATATTTCAATGCTTACACCAGATAAAGTGCAAATTTACACAAAATATTTCAATGGTTATACCAGTACACCAGATAAAGTGTAAATTAACACAAAATATTTCAGTGCTTACACCAGATAAAGTGTAAATTTATATAAAATATTTCAATGCTTACACCAGATAAAGTGTAAATTTACATCAAATATTTCAGTGCTTACACCAGATAAAGTGCAAATTTACATGAAATAATTTTCATTCATTTTGTTAAACTAAAATTTCAGACATAAAAAATCTAATCAGCAATGCTTGAGCCTTGACCATGTAAAAAAAATGAAATCATCATCTATTCAGATCTCTGGTTTCAGCTTCAGTTCTTATGAATGTAAGTTACTATGTCAGACACTGGTGCCAGCAAGGAAACTATTATCATTAAGTTCAACCAGTAATTTAGCTATAGTACTGTCCTTCTCGGCTATCATTTTATCTTTCTCCACCAGCTGCTTCCTGAGACGATCAATTTCTATTCTCATATCATCAATCACTTGCTCCTTTGTCAAGAAAAGTTCGCCACTAAGCATAGATTTGGTAGATGGTCGGACTTCTGGGTTTTCACTGGTCATGAGTTCTATATATCTGGTCTGTACAGGCCAGTTTTGGAACACTTCATCTGGAATTATACCTTTCCTTAAGTCACTTAAACTCCTATACCTCTCCATCTCTGTCCCGTAACTTTGAAATAATTCAAACAATATTACCCCTAAACTATAAATATCACATTTTGTATTATAACCAGAACCTTTGAGCTGTTCCGGTGCAGCGTAAGTAGATGTGCCAACCCCAGATGTATGATCAGATAGAATACTTCCGGTGCGGACAAGTCGAGACGTCGCTAAATTGAGAGTACTGAAAGAAGTGTCATTGACTGGACTAGTTACAACGTCATCAGTTGCTAAACCAAAGTCCCCAACTTTCACATGAAGTCCTTCTTCTTGTAGGAATATATTTCTAGGTTTTAAGTCCCTATGGATAACACCTTGTGAGTGTATATATTCCACAGCTTTCAAAATTTGGCCAAATATTATCATGTTCCTCTCAGTATAAGGGATTAGGTCTTTCTGACCACGACATGTCTCATTTCTATTTTGCATCCATTCTTTCAATGTTAGGCTGCAAAGCTCCATTTGGATGTATAATGTCACTGTTTTCTGAAAATATAACAAACATTATTCAGGTTTTGAAAAATGCTAGATGTGTAAATAACTTAATCTTATGTATGACCAACAATTTAAAACATGTGAAATTTCAATCTCATTAAAATCATATCATCAATAAAGCTCTGTAACTCTTCACTACGAAGGATAGTGGAGCAACAGTTAAGTAATGTTTTAATGAAATTGGTGAAATTTGATAAGATGAAAATACTTGTAAATAGAGTGCTTTGAATAAAGTGAATTTTTAAAGAAAAAGATATGTACTTTAAGTGTGCTGTGGCATTAGAATAACGATAAGACTTAAGGTAATAATTAAGTCATTTGAACAATAAACCGTGCATTACTGTACTGCAATACAAGAAAAATTGATATCTTTTTTCATTCCAATATTAAGCAGTGAAATAACTCAATCAGGGCACTAGACACCTTTTGGGGACAGGTACCCATACCCTAAGGAAGGGGAATTTTGTGTTGTTTTAAGGCAAAATTCGAAATTTTATGTTATCATGTATTTAGTGTATTTTTAATCACGTTTACTCATTACACTATTAAATATTGTGTAATTAAGCACTCTAATACTTAGTTTCTTGAATAAGGAAATAGTGTGAAACCTGTTACTAACTCATGGATGCTTACCATTTTTGGGGAGGTTGAATTTTGCGTCGCACCAACACAGTATAGGTCATATGGCTACTTTCCAGCTTTACAAGTGCATGAAGACCTCATGTGCCCTTCTTTGCATTATTTCAGGCATGAAGGGACACCTGAGTAGAACCACCAACGTTCGAAAAATAAATAATTACACCAGTAGGAACAAAAATGATTAACAATCGAAACTAAACTTATATTTTCATTTAAACTATCTGGTCAAGAAATACAATAAAATCAAGTAGGTATTCTGTCTGACTGGGATCTTTATTTTCCACTCACAGTGACCCTTCTTGTATTTCCTTAATATTGTTTTTGTTTTTGGGTTTTACGTCACATCGTCACAATATAGGTCATATCACAACGTTCCAGCTTTACTGGTGGAGGTAGACCTCAGGTGCCCTTCCGTGCACTATTTCAGGCACAAACGGGCACCTGAGTAGAACCACCGACATTCCGTAAGCTAGCTGGATAGCTTCCTCACATGAAAAAATCCATAGTCCCTGTCGGGATTCAAACCCACAGCGGTGAGGGGCAAGTGGTTTAAAGTCAACAACCTTAACCACTCAGTCACGGATACTCCGGGAAATTGGTGTACATGTATTTCCTTGTAACATTGAGAATTTTTGTGTACATTCATGTTTATTTGTTATCTATACTGTATTACCTGCAGTGGAAACTCGGTCTCTACAAACTGGAACAGATTACTGCTGTCTTCTAACGGCAGGAGCAATTCTCCAGAGGCCACAGGATCACAGCTAATACTTCTTTTATAAACCCTCTGTGACTTTCTCCCATCTCCACGATTGTACATGCTGCCATCTATCTCATCTTGTTGCCTACCAGATTCTACAGTACTAGTGTCCAGAGTAAACTTTACCTTGGTCTGCGTTGTTTTCACATTTCCAAATTTTCCAGGTAACAATGACAAAGCACGAGATTCTACCGTAGCTGTTTCCTTCTTATAGGATGAAGTGTCAAGCTTGAAGTTGTTCCCGAAAAATGTATTATTTCCTTGGTATTCTAACATATCATTCAAACTTTTATTTTTATGAAATGTAAATGATTTAGGAGGAGAAGGGGGCATGTTCTGTGGGGAAGATGCCAGACTCGAGTTATTGGAAGCTATTTCCTTTATCTTTGGTCCAGAGCCGAACCTGTAGTCGTGGAAAGGCTGGAGAAAGTCTCGAGAGTAATCTCCGTCACAAGAATCTCTGAATATAACACCAGTATCATTCTCTGAGTCGGAATGATTGTCAGAGTCAGCTGATATATCGTGTAAACTTGAACCAGCTGTAATACAGAATTTATTTTTTTTTATATAAAAGTACACATGAAAATCTAGATAGGTTCACCATCATGTTACTGATTCGCAATGCTTAACATAAATTTTACAAATTTTTTACAAAATTATAAACTACACTGCATAAGAAAAGATGTAAAACATGTCACCAAACACTATAAATGACATTTTTTCTTGTATACTCTCATTCTATGTTGAAAAAAGTTGAAGTAAATTATTTTTGTTATCAAAATAGATACTTATTAGATCAATCTCAAGATTTATTTTTACATTTAGCTTTCATGAATGCGAGAATTTAAAACAAAAAACTTAGTCAGTTGTTTACCTTATATATGAGATGAGTTTATCAAGTTCAAGTTTTCATAAAGTGATAAATAAATAGGAATCATAGCTTACAGGATGGTTTTGGTAAAGGAGCTGTCCCATATTCTAACCAGGCAGCATTATATCCCACGATGTTAGTGTGTTGTAAACTTGCCAATGCTTTCACTTCACGCAGTACCTATATTGTAATTTAACAATAGACATTTGTATTCTCCTTTCTAAACATTTGTATTTGGGGACCTTTCTGTTGAAAATGTGTCAAAGCTAAATGGTATACACATGCATGGACAGTGCGTTAACTGGAGTGCAGGTATTAGTTACCCTCATTCCAGAGCATGCTCATTAATTTGCTTATTTTTTTCTTAAGTTTACTCAATGTGACAACAGAGAAAGGGATAGCGATAGAAATGTCATGTTCAGATGCTCGTTCTTTGGGTACTTTTTTCTGGGGTTTTATATTGTGATAATAGGGAATGTGTTTTTCTTTTTTTCTATGATACAAAAGAGAAAGAACATCAAAAGACTCGGCAATCTGGTTCGTACTCAGGGGCTACGCCACCTTGTACAAATCAGATAGCCTTGTGTTTAGATGCTCTTTCTATTATATATACTACCAGAAGTTATCGAATTAAATTTAGAAATTAATTTTGTCACTTAGTTCTGTCATTTAAAACCAATTAGATAACTGTCCCTAGAGAATGATCTTCAATATTGGAATCTCAATTCATGTTGTAATAACATGTTGTTATTTTTTAGTATATTCCTGCCAAAAGAACTATGTTTAGTAATTGTTGGTATAAATGGATTTCAGAATAGTTTAATGAACACTTCTGACAAAATTGCAGACCCATGAATGTACATGTATGTCCATGTAGTGTTTACATGCTAAATTATTATGCATCAAAATGTCTAGAAAAATCACAGAGATATAACACTGTTAAATTTCTTAGTTATACAAGTTGGTGTTATGGACATATATTAGGGAACACAGCAATATGTTTATAAGTAAATGAGAGCTGACTTACTCTGAACCAAACTTCAGGTTTTGAGTGTTTAAACTTCACCTTCTTTACAGCATACATCTTCCCATCCAGCTTATTTCTACTCTGTTATAATATATCACAATAGCTTAAATGGATGATTGTAAACTTACAAATATAAAGCAGACTTTTGTATTAATTGTTATAAGACTTGTTTAAGTGTTTAGTCTAAAGAAAGATAGGTTAAAATGGTTTAAATGACTATATATAAACAGTAAAATAATACAACCAAACTTTTATTGGGAGTTTACATTTCACAACATTTTTGACTAAAACAAATTTTTTATACATCAATATAATTTTATTCATCTATTTACTTGTACAATAACACAAAATTGAATATTCTTGAACATTTCTCCTAGCACACTAAGTATAGGTTAAAGTTTATTGCTGCGCAACCAATTTAATTTTGTAAATAATAATAAATTTTAACCGTCAATTTACTAGACTGAATAACAGTTTGCCAAATTACCAAAGTAAATGTGTTACAATGTATTTGAAATACTGCAATCATATTGGACAAAAATAATTTCAGACACTAATTTAAGTTAATGGATGAACAATGATTTAAATTTGATATTAACGGATCAATAATGGTTTAAATATTGATATATTAATAATTAAACACTGATTTAGACATTAACAGAGAGATAAACACTGATTTAGACATTAACAGAGAGATAAACACTGTTTTAGACATTAACAGAGAGATACACTGATTTAGACATTAACAGAGAGATAAACACTGATTTAGACATTAACAGAGAGATAAACACTGAGTTAGACATTAACAGAGATATAAACACTGATTTAGACATTAACAGAGAGATAAACACTGATTTAGACATTAACAGAGAGATAAACACCTTATAAACAGCTCCAAATCCTCCTTTACCAATCTTCTCCACCTCTACAAACTCTGTACAATACCTGGATGTCTGGTTAATGAGATCACAACTACTGCTGGATGGATGCCGGGGTATACTGAAAGACATTATCAAGATTGAGAATATATTTTGTGATAAATACATGTAATTACAATTTTCACAGTCAATTAGATTCATTTAAGACCTTCCATGACCCAATGTCACGTAATAATAATATGGGATATATTTACTTAAAGCTAATTCAGTTATGGCCCTTTCCTTTTGTTACTCCTTCTTTAACTCCCTTGTAAATATCGACTGCTCAAAATTTTGTCATTGAATTGAGACCGATTCATGAGTTGAAGTCCCGATGTGTCGAAGTTTCTACGCAAGTCCCTTCAACTTTCAAGATATTCAGCAAATAAATACAAATAAGTTTAAGCAACCTAAACTTTATCAATAAAAATATTTACAAAGGAATTTAAAATTTAACAATTAAGAAAATAATTTATAGTACTTTAAAGAATTTTAAAGAGTACAATAAGAGTAAATAAGAAGGTAATTGTATCTTCACAAATACATGTATACAATAGTAACTTACTTGTTTTGTAGAGCAGGAAGGTTTGTGTCACTGAAGCCATTTGGAGCAGGTAATAATAGTTTTCCTGTGAGACCCTGAAATTTAATGTCAAACTTACTGGGCAAACATATAACATTAGTATACTGGTGCTTTTATTTTTTCATTTAAAAACATATACACTATATTATATATATAGATAATGTCAACAAGAAAATTAATCTTGTCATTTTTGTGTTTTTCCCTCAGATGTTAAAATTATTGCCATCATAACACAGGAATTGCCTATATCTTGACTTCATGTAGTATAAAATGTTACACATGTCGTCACCTTAGTGCAGTAACAAGTAACCAGTGTTTTTTTTTCACCAAAATATACGGCGAAATTCGGCCCCATTGGCAGCCCGAATTTGCCTGCAAAGAATATAATTTTTTTTTGCAACTAACTGCCGAAAAATGTTTTTATTTTATGCCTGTTAAGAGTTACTGTTAAGCAAGGTTGTTTACAAATCTTTCTCTGGTAGGTAAAGGGAGCTACTCCTGGCGTCCCAACAAGTTTAACATGCGTCACATCGATATTATAGATCCGTATATTAAGAGAAAGATACGTATTTTAAACTTGTGTTGCAAGAGTTGCTCCCCTTTTCCACCGCAAAGAAAACAATATAAAATAAGTAAACAAATAAAATTCCCCCTCCTATTGCATTTTTCGCCCTCCAAAGGGCATCGACCCCCTTCCCCCAAAAGTGAAAAAAAACACTGAGTACCTCATAATAAATTTAAAAGGAGAGTAACAGGGTTAACTTTCATAAAATTTAATAGGAGAGTAACAGGATTAACTTTCATTAAATTTAATAGGAGAGTAACCTGTTACTGTACTGAGGTGACAATATGTATGTCAAAACCACATGAACAATGTGAACTATTTAATTCTCTTCTTAGATTTACATACTGTATTTGGAAGTATATTGTTCATGTTGCTTTGGCAATGTTATTTAAATAATAAATTCAGAAAGCATCATGTGAGCACTATTACAGGATCATATTATATTACCTTCTCAGATTTGTAAACATTGATTTTCCTATAAACATTTTTCAGTTCTATTTTATCTTACTAAAGAGCTGCAATAAGCATAATGTGAACAGTTTCAGGACTGCATTATCTTATCCTATAATAATTGTAAACAGCAGCCAGTTTCAATGTGTGACTGCCTGTATCATTTTAGTTTAAACATTATTTATTTCAGGTCAGCTATGAAGAAATTGTGTAGACTATTTAAACTTCTCTAGATTCTGCTTCCTAGAACTAACCAGTACTGATGTCACAAAGTTGTGACTGCAGTTGGGCTCAAACCCACCACCTTGGTTGAGAGACAGACATTTTAACCACCAGGCCACAGCTCTCCTTTCTTATATATTACCTTACCTTGTTAGATTTGTGTACAGCAGCCAGCAACATCCTATGTACACTATGTCTATACTGCTCTCTAAGACTACTCATTTCATCTAACATCAATAATGGTGATACAACATTCAACTTGGTCAACTGTTCACTGATTGCTGAAATTTTAGTAATTGACTCTATCATACTAGATATTATCACATCAACAATTTTTCAACTTTGCTAATAAAAGATGTTTTTTCAACTTTTTCCAGATACAACATGAATAGTAGCACAAGTTATCCTAAGTAAAACATGAACTTCATTGAGGCCAAAATGCATAAACACATAAAATTTGAAATCCTTGCATAGAGCAAGTGATGAACTTAAAATGTTAAATTCTGTAAAAGATAATAAGGAATGTTAAATTCTGTAAAAGATAATAAGGAAATATAAAGTGAAATTGAAAATCATTTTTCTTTTTCACAATCTTTAGCCCGGTAAGAAATTCTGAAGTTAATCTAGTAAAAAGCTTACACATACATGTTGTCATTTTTAAGTGGAACTATTATTCTTATGTTACCAAAAATACTTACAAATGAAAATATCTTGAGCTTGTTTTGTATCTCTGGCATACATGTGACATAACTGTTCTAGGATGGACACTAGCAACAGGTGATTGGGCACTGTCCTTGGTAGTACCTTTGATGATGGCACAGCTGGCACATGAGGCTGAGAACTCAAACTGTCACTTCTAGTCAAACATTCTGACAAGTCAGAGTCTACAAATGTAAAATAATATACAGAGTTATTTAATAACAAATTATATACTTGTACAACAAATAAGTTTAATACACTTTACAGTCACTTATTCTATGACCATCAGTCTATGATAAACATCCATCATGATCAATTTATAAACATGGTACACAGTAATGTTTATAACAATCTTGACAACTAGAAAAGAGAAGCTGTAAAACAGAGAGAAATTAAGAATCCCTAAAGAATGCACAAAATGACAAATTTGAAAATGTTGCAGGCTCGGTTTGATTGAGCCTGTTCATGTAAGGTAATGGAAAGTGCAATTTACAGTCCACACAATCTAGCACCGGCATAAGCAGATTTCAACATTAAGTCTTGGTAATGGTGAAATTTTGAATTTAGAAACATCAGCAGATGTTTTCATACGGTGGTTATCATGGAACCTTCAATATGACATTTTCGTGCCAATTTCCATGAAAAGCGGCATATAGTGCCCATGTAAAATAATGTGTAATGTGAGAGTCATTTGGTAATGTCAGCCAAAACCTGATGTTGCCATGTGACAAAATGGATTGTTACCCTCTGATGTTGCAAAAGGCTTTATAGTAAATAAATCATGTAAAATACATTTTGATACAATTTTATTGGAATCTGTAAGATGATCATCAGTAAACACTAGAGTATCATTAATGCCTTAATTATATCCTAACTAAATTAAAGCTGAAAATAAGTAACTGTGGGAAACGGACAAAAGCCCTCCCGTCAAAAAATGACAAGACGGACAAAAGCCCTCCCGTGAAAATGACAAGGTGGACAAAAGCCCTCCTGTGAAAACAACAGGGCGGACAAAAGCCCTCCAGTGAAATTAACAAGGCGGACAAAAGCCCTCCCGTAACAATAATAAATATGTATGTTGAATACCTGTGTTTTTTTCAATGCACTCAACATATTAAAATTGTTGCATATATTTATTGTTATTTTTAATTGGCCTAAGTATGTGTGTGAGCTTAGAACCACCTTTTACTCTAAACATACCTTCCTGAAATGTTTAAAGAGGTAACTTTTTACACGAATGTCGTTAAAATCAAAGTCACTTTTTTAAGTAATTCACTCATTACAAGGCACATTATAAATGTCTTTAACTTTTAAGTTAAATAATTTTAACTTCTTTTCATCATTTATTACTCTATTAATCTTAACTTCACATAGGAGTAAACCTTCATATCTACGTGAATAAATATGCACTTACATGTAGATTTTAGCACTAATTATTCAGATGCCTCTCAGGAATGTGCTCAAGCTCATACAAACACGGTTAATGCCAATGGAAAACAAAAATATTCATGATTACAATTTTAATATGTTGAGTGCATTGAAAAGAAAATATAAACTATTCAACGTACATATTATATGTATTTGCTGTGGGAGGGCTTTTGTCCGCCCTATTATTTTCACGGGAGGGCTTTTGTCCACCCTGTCATTTTTAAGAGAGGGCTTTTGTTTGCCTGTCATTTTCACGGGAGGGCTTTTGTCCGCCTTGTCATTTTTACGGGAGTGCTTTTGTCCGCCTTGTCACTTTCTGATGGGAGAGCTTTTGTCCGGGAGGGCTTTTGTCCTACACTCAGTAACTGTAAGTGCAAATCTCACACCTACCTCTGTCTGGAGAGAAAATGCCTTTAGAAATCTTCCTACAGTTTAGTTTTTATAGCCTTGTATCTTTAGTCTTATGGGCTTATTTCCCAGTATGGTGTAACAATTAACAAATGAAAAAGATTTATACCATCAAACATGTAGATTTTATCAGGCTTCTTCATTTTCCTTTTAAAGCTTGCCATACTCCAGGTTATCTTCCTTCCATATTACAGTATACTGTACACACAACACCATTCAAACCTGAATTGTGAAATGATAATGAGCAAAATCTGATTACTATCATTAGTATTTCACCATATACAGTTGACTCTAGGTAACTCGAAATCCATGGGACTGGGCATTTTACTTTGAGAGAAAAGGAATTCGAGTAACGTGGATATGCCACCATTACGTTGAAATTCGTATTTTTTATACATGTGCCTGATTGAATGTGCAAAGAAGTAGGTTTGTTTTTGTTGATAGCGGCAATGCTGCAATATTTAACCGTTGAATTGACAGTTAATTACTTTACTGTCACTTACAACTACAAATTATAAATGAATATAAATATATTATTCAAAATTTAATACATGTATATTAATAGTGAAATATAAACACAAACATTAGTAGCAATGACATAAATGCAAGTTTGTCAGAATTCTTCAGTGAAGCCTATGTTATTTATAAGCACTCATGACAATTCATTATAATGAAAGCACAATAACACATTTATTTCAACAATAATTTATCTAATATTTGAAGTGAATTGATCATCGGACAAAAACGAAAGTAGCAGCTATTGTGAAGTACATATTAATGTATGCAATTTGACAGAATATTAATTATACAAATGTCATTTACATTAATAACACACATCAATACCTAGTTATTTGACTAACCAGGGATTTTTTTTGGCTTATTTTATAGCCGTTATTCGGTCATATTCCCAATTAAAAATAGTATATTATTTTCCCAATCCACAGTAAAAAAAATCCCAATTGAAAGTTACAAAATAAAAATATTGAATAAAAATTCTAAAATCTTTGAAAGTTTAAGTGCTCATTCACTGTAATAGTGCTTAAATGTTTGTAGATGCCATCCTAGACAGTATTTGTTTGCATCCATTAAATAATTGTAAAATTTCAGTCATGCATTTTTTCCCAATTTTTAACAAAACACCGCTGAAATTCCCAATACCATGGGTATGGGTCATGTTCCCAAAATCCTTAAAAAAATCCCTGCTAACACCTGTCAGACTGGCACAAGTCAACTTTCTTATCTAATTTTGTTATCTAACTGTTAAAAACCAATTAAGTCCTGAAACCGCTTTAACGTCTTGTTAATAATACATGATGACCGGCAATTAAAATTACCATGAAATGTTTGAACCTCGAGTGACAACATCTCACCTTGAAGTCAAAGACCTTTGATCAGTCTGCTTTTTTCACACTTCGACTTATTTAGATGAAAAAATGTTGGACTTTAATTGACGGGACCAAATTTTCTTTTCGACTAAACAGAAGTCTCTGTAAATCAAAATTTGACCTAAGCGGAGTTAAAATGCAAAGATAAAGAAGGAAATTTGACGGGACTTTAGAAATTCTTCGACTAACGCAGAATTTTGAGTAAAGCGATTTTGACTTATTGAGAGTCAACTGTACATGCTTTTTACATTCAATTATAATCTCTTCTGGCAGTCATTTTGGAGGTCATTCCCAATATATTGTATGTGTTTAAGAAAATATAAAAATCTCTCATAATTCAATTATTCCTATGAAAACTGATAAAAATCTTTTTACATATTGGTGCTATAATAGTTATTTGCTTAAATGTATTCTTTTTTTTTTTTTTTTTTTTTTGACAATTCACCTAATATTGATTTATTCATAAGTTGTCAATTACATTATACAGAATATTGGCCCAAAAAATGGCTACCATTATAAGCCAGGTCAGTAAATATTGTAAAAATTGGGAACTATCTATAGACCATAAAGCAATTCCAGCTCAACACTATTGGCCTACATAGGAAAAAATGTTATTACAAAACTTTATATTCTTAGCTCTGGCGGCTTTCTCATGAACAGATTGGAACCATTTGAGCATTGTTTTAAACTTTCATTTTCCAAAGTATTAGACATAGGTGCTTGTGCTTGTTGGGTAATCGCAGCTTCTCATTGATACAAGTAATAAAACCACTGTAAAAAATAAACTAGAAAGGTTTTTGTCACAAAAACATATGTCTTCCAAAACTAAGGTATGGTCACTCATGTAAAGTTTCAATGAAATCCCACCAGTACCTTGACTTGTGAAATTACGACAAGATTTTTTCTTTTTTGGCTCTGTCTGCCATTTTATGCAGCGCTGCAGAACATGCTTGTGATGTGCACAACCAGGGATATCACTGATCACTCCTGTAAAGTTAGGTTGAAATCCTACCACTAGTTTGACCAGTGAAGGCCGGACAAGATTTTTTTAGCTCTGGTGGTCATTTTGTGCCACGTAGCAAAACATACTGGTGATGTGCACAACTAGGGATAAAAGGGATTATACTGATCACTCCTGTAAAGTTTGAATGAAATCCCACCAGTAGTTTGACCAGTGAAGGCCGGACAAGATTTTTCTATTTTTAGCTCTGTTGGTCATTTTGTGCAGCTTAGCAGAACATACTGGTGATGTGCACAACTAAAGATAAAAGGGATAATACTTATCACTCCTGTAAAGTTTGAATGAAATCCCACCAGTAGTTTGACCAGTGAAGGCCGGACAAGATTTTTCTATTTTTAGCTCTGTTGGTCATTTTGTGCAGCTTAGCAGAACATACTGGTGATGTGCACAACTAGGGATAAAAGGGATAATACTGATCACTCCTGTAAAGTTTGAATGAAATCCCACCAGTAGTTTGACCAGTGAAGGCCGGACAAGATTTTTCTATTTTTAGCTCTGTTGGTCATTTTGTGCAGCTTAGCAGAACATACTGGTGATGTGCACAACTAGGGATAAAAGGGATAATACTTATCACTCCTGTAAAGTTTGAATGAAATCCCACCAGTAGTTTGACCTGTGAAGGCCGGACAAGCTTAATGCTGACAGATGGACAGACGGACGGATAAGCCATTTAAATGGACTAAGTGGCCATTTCTTTTGTTATTTTCTTTTGTTTTATAGAGGGCCAGTGTTCGTATTTTTTCACTTGATATACCTTGGTCATTTACGTAGTTTATATCGAGACTGTCAATGGGTGTATTGCTCTTTTTAGCTTTGAAGAATAATTGTTGAGGTGTTCAGATTTAAATCGGAAGTGCAAGAAAATTGAAATACATGACACCTTTAAAACAAAAAAATGTAAAATTAAAAATGAAAGAATTTTTTTATTTTATCAGACTTCCCCATTCATAGGCTTTGCCTACTTTCATGTTACTTATATCTGGGACATCATTTGTCATTTTTGTCACAAAATTTAATCTAAAACAATTTTTATCAGTTTATGGCTCAATCATATTTTTTAAATAGATCTATCTTGTCTTGATCTGTTGATGTGTCAAGTAAAATTTTATTTATAAGTTGGATACATATAACAATAAACATAAGCTCTAATGAGCTTTCTGCACCATATTATATGAGAATGTCAGACGTTTCACTCCCAAGACATTTCACTATTGAGACGTTTCACTCCCAAGACGGTTCACACCTAGACGTTTCACTCTAATTTTGTCAATTGTATGGACGTTTCACTCCCATTTTTTAGATGTTTTTATTAAGAAAATTTGTTTTCATTATGAAGGGGAAATTCAATTTAATGATTCATTTTGTTGAATTTGAGAGTATTGATAAGAAGAATTTATGAATTTGAAGAATGATTATAAAAGTATAATTTTTCTGAAATATAACAAAATGTGTAAATAATTATGATCTATACAGTATAATAAATCAAGAAGGATAATAGAATAACAAAATGAAAATGTTCATGAACAACAAAGACACATTGTAAGTACCAGTTTGAATATTGAAACCACTACCAGTACAGTATTTAAATAATATCAATATATAAAATATAGTTTTAGTTTTTTTTTTGTAAATTTATTTATCAATGAAATGCAGAAAATGTGCATAAAATTAATTATTCTTTTCAATTATTTCTTCATCAATTTAATGAACAGAAGTAAGCCATTAAACAAACTTATGTAATTGTGGTGTTAACAGTAATCTCTTCACCTTTATTAGTTGTATAAACACTGAGACCATCAATTAACAGTTTGACATCACTATTAAATTAGTTGTATAAACATTGCACTTTAGCATCAACAGTTATTAATAAGCTGTTTCTTGGACCATTTAACTATTTTTAGACAATGTTCAGCCAATTAAAACCAAAGTCATGGAAACAGAAACTCCTCCATAAGTTTTGGTTATAAATTATAACAAAAATAAAACAAGAGCGATCAGTAATCACATGTGTCGCCTCATGATGGCCAATTTCATGTTGGGACAAAGTTTGTGACAGACGGACAGACAGACGGACAGTGCACAACTAGACTTGGTACTGATCATTCCTGTAAAGTTTGGATAAAATTGCACCAGTAGTTTATGAGGAGTAGTCCGGACAAGCTTTTGCGTATCTGGCAACACACAGAAAAAACACCTTTTTATCAAAGGGCCATAACTCGGCCAAAAATCATTCAACCGGAAAACCCGTGCAATATGCGCAAGGACTTGAGCTACAGATCAATCCTGTAAAGTTTCATTGAAATTGCTTTAGTGGTATAAGAGAAGTAGTCCGGACAAACTTTAAAAATAAAAATTATTAAAGGGCCATAACTCTGACAAAAATCATTGAACCGGAAAATGCTGATAATATGCACAACTTAACTTAGAACTGACCATTCCTGTAAAGTTTAGATGAAATTGCACCCGTAGTTTTTGAGGAGTCTAGACAAGCTTTTGTGAATCTGGAAACACACAAAAAGCCGATCTTTTTATTAAAGGACCATAACACGGCCAAAAATCATTCAACCGGAAAACCCTTGCAATATGCACCATAACTTAAGCTGATCTATCCTGTAAGTTTAATTGAAATTACATAAGTGGTATAAGAGAAGTAGTCCGGACAAACTTTAAAAATAAAAATTATTAAAGGGCCATAACCCTGACAAAATTCATTGAACCGGATAATGCTGACAATATGCACAACTAGACTCGGTACTGATCATTCCTGTAAAGTTTGGATGAAATTGCACCAGTAGTTTATGAGGAGTAGTCTGGACAAGTTTTGTGACGGACAGACGGACAGACAGACGGACGGACAGACGACGGAGAAGTGATCCCTATATGTCGCCACTACTCCGTAGAGGCGACACAATAATATTTAATCAGATAATCATATTAAATATATTATGTAAGATTATCTACAGAATTTTTTTTTACTTATTGATATAAAAAATATACTTGAATTATTATCATTAACATCTTTAGAGAACTGCTACTTTCATACAATTATATCCTATATCCGGTCATATATGATATCCTTCCCTAAATAAGAATAAATATCTGAAAAGATATCAGATCAAAGATCTCTCAAAGTCTAATCAAGTAAAAAATAAAATAATAAAACTTTAACAATAATGACATACCAAACTTTCATTTATTAGTAAAATTAAGGTCTATTGTAGTATATCAAAAGTATCAAAATAATTTTGGTATAAAATGGGAGTGAAATGTCTTCAAGACGTTTCACTCCCATTTGGGAGTGAAACGTCTTGGTGTGAACCGTATTGGTGTGAACCTTCTCAATAGTGAAACGTCTGTCTACCTTATATGATGAGATATTGTGGGGCAGCACGAAATACCCAAATATACCCAAATATTGCCTAAATATACAAAATTACACCTTAAAAATGTAAGTGTAGACAACAAATATCATATCTTGATTTAAAAATGCAAGTACATTCATAAAGAACCGGGTCTCCCTAATTACCGACAAGAACCGCCAGGAACCAACAAGAACCGACAAGAGCCTATATATTACAAATAAACAAGTACAGATGTGTTTTTATCATTGTTAAACATGCAGGGCATATATATTTTTCATATTTGAAAAGGTCTTTCTTGTATTTTTATAGAAAATTAAATATATGTGTACCGACAAGAAAAATTCGAGTGCAACGCGTACTGTTACTGTTACGTTGACATCGACAAGAAAGATTTGTTATTTTCAATATAATATAAATAATATAATCAGTTGCAAAAGTTGTGGTCAGAATATCTTATAAACATGTTTCAACCTTATTTGCAGTCATGAAATAATTTTTCATAACATTGCATGAATGTATATGCAACCGACAAGAAAAACCAGGGGTCATGCGTAATGAAGATTTACCGACAAGAAATTGAGAACGGGCTGTAGTGTAGAAAGAACATGTATACAATCTTTTTTGTAATTTAATTACTTTTAACACTTTAAACTTTCATATTTTAATGCTTATAAGAAAAAATACTTGTGTTTATTCCATTTAGTTTTAAAATATATTTAACAAATCGATTACCGACAAGAAAAAACCAGGGATCATGCGTAATGAAGATTTACCGACAAGAAATTGAGAACGAGCTGTCGTGTAGATGTAGAACATGTATATAATCTTTTTTGTAATTAAATAACTTTTAAGACTTTAAACGTTCATATTTAATGCATATAAGAAAAAAATATTTGTGTTTATTCCATTTTGTTTTAAAATAAATTGAACAAATCGATTACCGACAAGAAAAAACCAGGGATCATGTGTAATGAAGATTTACCGACAAGAAATTGAGAACGAGCTGTAGTGTCGATACATAGAACATGTTTATAATCTTTTTTGTAATTAGATAACTTTAAACTTTCATATTTTAATGCATATAAGAAAAAAATATTTGTGTTTATTCCATTTAGTTTTAAAATATATTTTAACAAACCGATTACCGACAAGAAAAAAAACAACAGGGATCATGCGTAATGAAGATTTACCGACAAGAAATTGAGAACGAGCTGTAGTGAAACAACATGTATATAATCTTTCTTTTGTACTTTTTTTTCAGTTTTTGAAGAAATTGATGATGACTTAATTCTCACCACTGAGAAGAAAAGACGGACATCGTGACGTACAAAGATGTGACGTTATGCATTATAACGCTTGTATTTGTTTAATGAAAAAACATTGAAACCTATTTCGACCCCTCCACAGGTCTCATTAGGTTTGTGGTTCATTTCTCCACTAGAAGTAAAGAAATAAACAGATATCCTACTATAGGTTTTAATATTTTATTATCAAAAACTTACGGGCAGAGGTTGCAGAAATTTTTAACTTTTTTTTGTGTATTATATATGTATTCATATGCTTTTTTGAGTAACTTTCGCGTCTCAAATTAAACATTCTCACATCACATGTGCAAAACCATTATTTTGTAATTATAATATATGTTAATGTCATGTGTCATTTATGTATTATATGTTGTATTTGTATATTTAATATGGTGATGAGCTTTTTATGCTTAAACCAAGTAATAAAGTTTTTGTGTTCTGTTCTGTTCAATGTAACGAATTATCTCTTTCTTTCACAGCTGTTCATTTCGAAATTGTTTTCGCACATTTTCACACCAAGCCTTTGCTATAACAAGCGCAATACAACGGCTTAAGTTTTCACCAGCTTTGATTAAATTAAAAATCGCTCAAAGCTAACTGAGTGAGAAACACACGCGCACAAGCTTTAATTGAGTAATATCAATCAATTTTGTTTGAGGCAATCTATTTTGAAAATTTGTACTTGAAAAAAAAAAAATTTTTGCCCTGAATATGTTATATGTATATATGCTAATAAAATAACTGAATTAATTTATGTTTTTGTCCATTATTTTATTTTATTTCTATATTCTTATTGCATGCTTTACGGTGTATTTGTGTAAAAATTGTAAATGGAAAAAAAATTAAAATAATTGGATAATTTAAATGGCAGGTATGTACAAACTTAAATATGAAATATATTTTGATAACAGTTATGAAATACTATTATTTTTAAACAACTTATAACTGATCACTTTCATTTCAAATATGTTATATCTTGCCTATTTACAGTACATAATGTCTCTTTAAAGAAAAACATGATCATGAAGCATGATACTATTTTCTTGTCGGTACTATAGGCATGAAAACATTTCTTGTCGGTAGACATGAACACATTTCTTGTCGGTACAGAAATAAGTTGCCTAAATGCAGGATATTTTGTAATCAATGACAACGAAAAGTTTTAAAATTATATTATTGAATATAGGCTAGACAATAAATTATTTTGAACACATTTAAAAACCTACGCAATAATGAAAATTTCTTGTCAGTATCCCGCGAATATTCTCATATCATCATTCATTAATGATGATATTCTTAATTGAATTAGAAAACATTTAACATAATAATTATTATTTATAAAAAACAACATAATCTTAATAAAAATAATTTATGATTTAACACTTATACACAAATTCTTAATGTAATATCAATGATACGAAAGATGGCCGAGTTCTTGACGGTGAGAAACTGAGACTGACTTCTTGTCGGTATAGATATTTGCCTTTAAACATGGTTCAGAACGAATTTATTATGTTTTTTATGTAAAAAATATTAGGAATTATTATTTTTAAATGATGAATAAGTGAAATTAATTCGTATTTTCCTATTTTTACTTCTTGTCGGTTCTTGTCGGTTCCTGACGGTTCTTGTCGGTAATTAGGGAGACCGTAAAGAACCTATATGGTACTAAGATAAGCAAATGTCACAACTTTATTTTCTTACAATATCGTAACTGTCCATTTCAACGGAATGAATGAAAATTATAGCAGGCTAAGTCATATTATATTTAATAAATATTTATTTATTTCTCATTATAATCTATATTTTATACAAACAAAAATAAATATTGCTATATTTGGATATATTTGGGTATTTCGTGCCGCCGGATATTGTGTCTTCTAAACAAAAATAATTTCAACAATACCTGCCTTTTTTAATTTCTATTTGGTCTGAATAATTGTATAGTAATTTACTCGTTGAAAAGTTAATTAACTTAACAATCTTTATCCTAATTATTAGTAATATGTTTTTATTAGAGGGCCGAGTTGAATCGTACCGAGTTGGTATAGGGACGAGTTGACCCTTACCACTTTATTCTGACTTTCACAATTTAGATTGCATCAGATTTTTTCATTCAAACTTTTTTTAAAAACCTGCTTAAGCTAACCACCATTAGACTAAATGTCTTGTTACAAGTAAGTTTCAAGATCTCTGAATGTTATATTTCCAGAAATTTCGATAGTTTACTTTTCATTTCCTTGGGCGCAGACATCTTACTTGATCGTAGACCACTAAATTGATGAAGGATGTGAAGGTTGATGCTACTAAATATTTTCCTTTCACAGAAGCTTAAAATGTTGGGTTCTGCAACGCATTAAAAAAATGGTACTGTATAATTGTCAATCCCAACACATAAGTATAAAAAAGATATTTAAACGTCTAGATTTGATGTCATTAAACAAAAATGTCCCAAAAACTTATCATAATTATAGTACATACAATCGTAACATTCCATTTATTCAGGACTTGGGATGGCTTCGAAAAATAATAACTTAAGTTTTTACAGTAATAACTTGAAAATTCGCTGACCTTATCACGATTCAGCGATTAACAACATATAAAACTGTGTTTAAAGATTAGATAAGGCGTTTATCATTTACATTTGATCTAATGAAACATAAATTCCTTAACAACATGAAAAATAATTCATTTAAAACAATACGTTGCTTATGAAGGTTGATTTAGGCCAGTAAAAGTACGGTTGCCGAGACAATTACATACCATTATCTTTATCATTATTATTATTATTATTATTAAAAATAATAATAACAATGATAATAATAAACAAAAAAATCATGTACGTACTGTACATGTATGTAACTATACTATTAAGCAGCAGCAGATCAAAATGTCCATGTTGGTATTCAGTAAAACTTGCACTGCAATAAAACAACAAATAAGAAACAACGTTTTCCTTTTTTAAAGAATTATAATAAAAATATGTTGGAATAATCCAATAGTTTTACTAAAATATAAAAAAATCATATAGTTTATTTGTATAATAGTAACACTATATTCATGATATAGTTATGTTTTACTGTGTCTTTATTCATATCAATACTTATGCATCAGTACGTGTCGCTAATTCTAATTATTTCTAAAATACCCAAATTGTATATTACAATAATAATCTATTTTTTCAAATCAACCTGAAATAAATTAAATGCAAGCATGACATGGACATTTTTTCAATCAAATAACGCTTGTTGATCTTGTATGTTGTCAGTAGGGCTGTAACACACTTATGTGAAATTTTAAATATGTATGTAATTATTCTTCTAAAACAATTTTCAAACATCCAAGAATATGTTATGTGTGTATTTCAACTGCTTTAAAGCATTGTATGGAATAATTAAATATGTGCATTCATTTCTTACTGAAACATTTAGCTTAGACTTTATAGAAAATAAATTTCTAATTATCCCCCTTTATTTACATAAAATGTAACATCTTTACAAATAACTTTTTGGAACTTACAATATTGATTTTTATGATATAAAACCATAAACAATTGAGTTACAGGATCTTTAAAAGCCCATGATAACTTAATAACAACATATTTACAAGATAACGAATAATGCATATGTAAACGGTTCTTCTCCAAATCCCTCCATTGCACATGACAGGTCAAGGTTAAGTCATCTCAAGTACCAGAGATGATTGGTTGACCTGTCGTGACTAACCCTGGAGATTGGCGTTAACAAGGATTGTTTTGTTATCGTTTGCCGGAAAGCTGATGCCTTGGCAGTATTGTCGACTCCTTCACCACCATCGAACGGAGTACAGGCTCCAGGAAGATTCGGCATGAAAAGACGTCCCCTATGCGACTGCAACAGTAGACCGGCAAATACGCTATAATCTCGGACATTTGGTTATTCCGGCGCAGAGTTATATAAGACAAACTTTTAAACTATATGTTAAGCGTACAAACATTATCACAATATAATTATGACTTTACAGGAGAAA